AATCCTCAACGCTATTTACAAATTGTGTAATGTAGGCACAACCCAATTGCTCATTAAGAGGATTCCCATATGAATATTGAAAATAATCTCTCATATTCCAATAATATCGAGCAAATATAAGATCATCATCACTTAACAATCCACACCAAGTGTCAGTTCGATTAAAGTGAAGGACCCAGAACTCACAATAATTAAACATATCTGCTACTGAAATCGGATCAAGAGGTGGACTGATATTGTATTTTTTGGACATTCTTTCTGCTATTGGTGCTAAAGTCTTATTACCATAAGAATAAGATTGATCTAAATAATGTGTATTATTTGGAACTGTATGGTTCCAACGTAGACAAGCATCATTCATTTGCAAAATATAATCATGACCCTAAATATATAAAATAATGTAATAATACGAGTAATTAAAATTAATAAATAAATAAATAAATTAATATATACTTATATAAGGCCGTTTGAAGGTAAAACTTTGTTTAACGTTATATTTTTTCGTATTAACAGGGAGAGGGGAGAAATTAAACAAACAAAAAAAAATAAACATATAGTGTGTCGAACAATCCGACAATAAGCCGGAAACATTTGGCAGCAATGCTGACCTTTATATCGATCAATTTGTTACTTCTGTTTATTTAATTTGAGGGGGAGAATCAACTACAAATGGCCTAATATTTACCGGTTGCAAAGACCAAATGTATACTGGCTCATTTTTACAGGCGCCTACGGGGCCAGTTCCATCAAATAGTCCTTCTGAAAAAGACATGGCCGATTGACTGACCCTGTAATATATTTAATGAATATATTGTAAGTATATTGTACAGTATGTCATGCTTGAAGTTGCAACTTCAAACACATTAAGTTACACTTGTTTAGATTAATACTTGTGACAGCTGAAACTGGTATTGGTTAAAGTTGGGACTTGGGGCACTATGTAATTTACTAACATATTAAACCTATAAAAATTTACTTATACTTTTTTTATTAATAATTATAACCACCCTAAATCCAAACACACAAAAAAAAAATTTTTTAAAAAAAATACGCATAATAAAAAACTTTTAAATTTTATATTAAAATAAACTTAAATCAAACTCAGTTTCAGCCACCACAATTCTTAAGGCTTCTAATTTTCTATCAGATGTAACTTCATGACAAGAGTATTGTAATGAAATACGCAAATTTACCAAAAAGCAGTAGAAGTCTGAAATTTTACAACATCAACATCATATTCGACACTTTTCCAAAATTTTTCGTATCTTTTAAGAGATTGTAAACCACTGTAATAAGGTTCGAGTTTACCTCTTGTAGTTAATCGAGAATTTTTTTCCACGGGGAAAGGATGTTTAGGCTAAAAAATATTTTTTTTTATTTAAATAATACTTTCTATTTGTTATACTGTATTAAATAAAAAATAATTTACCCAATCCTTTGCTACGGAAACATTTGCAAATGCTTTATCAATTTTATCGAAAGCTGAAATCTGGTCTATATGCGGAAATCTCGATCCTAATAAATAGTTTCCCAAAAAATCTTACTTTGTATCATCAAATTTTCGTTGTGTATATGAATAAATAATTACCATGTCTACTAAGTAAAAATAATTGATTTAATGTATAATTATCGGGATAGTTTATAGGCTTAATGTCAAGAGAAAAAACATCCTTTGCTGGTCTGATTTCGAAAAAATGATTATTGATAAGATAATCAGGAGAGCGCTTATATAAAAATGGTTCATGATCCGAACATAACGTTAGTTTATAGAATAAAAATAATGAGAAAATAAAAGTAAACAATTGAATGCTATATGAAATCATTGTCTTTTAGTATTATGAATACTTTCAGTAAAATTGAATTGAAATCAAACATTTATATACAAAGTTTTCAAAAACGCAAAAATGGATCGACAAATTGGCATACAGAAAGTTCGTGATAGAATCTGTTGCCTGATATAGGTGGGCAAATATAAATAGATCAATGACTTAAATAGATCAATAACTAAACTTTAAAATATTTATATACTATATAGCTTAAATTGATTAATTTTTATATATTGTAAATTCTCGAATGAATGGGCATCTGCGCGCTATTTTGAGTACTTGCGGTTATGTCGAATACGCCCATGAACATTATTTCAAATATATAGGCTGACGTTCTACATTTTTAACTCAGAATAAATTTCATAAAAATAGCTCATGACAGGGACACGGAAATTATGTGATTTAGTGTGATTAAACAAAATCACACTAAATCACATAATTTTGCTTCACTTATATT